CGTAGCTAATGGGTAAAGATAGATGTGGATTTATGTTTTTGTTTTTTTAACTTTTTGTGGGTTTTTTTTGTTGTTGTTAAAAATTTTTTTTTTCCAACGTTTATTTATTTTTGGGACAGAGAGAGACAGAGCATGAACGGGGGAGGGGCAGAGAGAGAGGGAGACACAGAATCAGAAACAGGCTCCGAGCCATCAGCCCAGAGCCTGACGCGGGGCTCGAACTCACGGACCGCGAGATCGTGACCTGGCTGAAGTCGGACGCTTAACCGACTGCGCCACCCAGGCGCCCCTAACTTCTTGTGTTTTTTAAGAGAGACAGCGAGCCAGGGAGAGAAACAGAGGGGGAGAGAGAATCTTAACCAGGCTCCACACTCAGCTTGGAGCAAGATGTGGGGCTCAATCCCACGACCCCGCAATCATATCCTAAGCTCAAATCAAGAGTCTGCCGTTTAACTGAGTGAGCCACTCAGGCACCCTGATTGATGTGGATTCAAATCCCAGGTCTGCCACTTATTAGCTGTATGACTCTGAACAAGCAACTAGTCAACTCAACATGTACTTACTGAATGCAAGGTCCTGGGGATATAGGACTAATATGGTCTCTGACCTCAGGGAGTTTACATTCTGGTGAGGCAGACGAAAATACAAGCAGATAATCAAAATATGTTAACTGCTGATCTGTCATTTTGAGAATCATCTCAGAAATTATGAGGTGCCGCAGTACACACAGATAAAACATGGTCCTGAACGTAGAGGCTTTTTCAAGAGCAGAGCCATTTATCATCACTTCACGTTCAAGAAAATCATACCTTTAAATGTCACACTCTTTAACTTATCTCCCAACATTTCTTCTTCAAAGTATATACCCTTGAAATACAATTTGGATGCAACCCAACATTCTTCATTCCTTCTTTCAGCCTGACGCAGGGTAGGCCACATCATATAAACAACCACCAACTTATAAGATTTTCGAATGATAAATGGTAGCTGTACACATACATAAGGAAAGCCATAAAAGGAGTATTTGTTTAGAGCTGGGAACTAGCTGCCTCTAGAGACCACTGAACTGGGGCAACAAGGGTTCCTAAATACTTTCACTTAAACTGAAAGATACACATAGAAAAATGAATCTCACTTCATAGATTTTAGTTTATCAGTAGCCATGGACTGTCCTTGCTAGCTATATGGCTTACAGCAGTATTCAAAGTAATAGCAATATTGAAAGAGAGCATAAGAAAACCCACACTAATTCACCCATGTTAGACAATAGTACTAACATTTATTGGATGCTTACCATATGCCAGGCACTATCTTTGTATGTTTTAAATGTTCTATTTAGAGAGGAGTGCCTGGGTGGCTCAGTCAGTTAAGCGTCTATCTTCTGCTCAGGTCATGATCTCAGTTTGTGGGTTTGAGCCTGGCATCGGGCTCTCTCTTGACAGCTCAGAGCCTGGGTCCTGGAGCCTGCTTCAGATTCTATGCCTCCTCTCTCTCTGCCCCTCTCCCGCACGCATGTGCACACACACGCACGCACACGCACACACTTTCCCTCTCTCTCTAAAATAAACATTGTTTAAAAAATTTAAATGTTCTATTTCACCTCATGCTTACAACTCTAAGATAGGTATTTTCACATCCCATTTACATATGAAAAAGCAGACATTTTAAAACATTTAAGCAACCATGGCCAATGGCTGTTCAAGTACCCCCAATACAGTAAATTTATGTATAATTATGTCTATGTACAGTTGTACCAATACTGTAACCAGTATATTTAAACACAATATGTCATGAAACTTTTTTTTTAAGTTTATTATTTTTCATAGAGAGCCCTAGTGGAAGAGGGGCACAGAGAGAAGAAAAGGGAGAATCCCAAACAGGCTCCACATTGTTAGCACAGAGCCTGACATGGGGCTTGATCCCACAAGCCATGAGATCAAGACCCGAGCCAAAATCAAGAGTCAGATGTTCAAATGAATGAGCCACCCAGGCACCCCATGAAACAATATATTATAAAAGCTACTAAAAATTTTTTAAGAAGAAACACAAATAGCTTTAGTATTTTCTTCCTGCTTTCCAAATACATGTCCCACTTTGGAGATCAGAGTGAAAATCCAAGAGCAAAACCAAGTGAAGATTTTCAGTAGTTTTCAAACTTGAATGTGTATCACAGAATCCTACCACCCCAGACACACTTAAATAGCAGCACTAGACCCCTAAATATTTAGAACTTGTGCTCTTTTTGAAGCTCCCAGGCATTCACTCACCTGCTCTTTCATTGAGCTTTCCAAACTGGAGACTTGGGCCCTGGGCTGGCTTAGGGGATAGGGAAGACTCATTTTGCAAAAGTCTACAATACAGTTCTGGGAGTCTCAGCTCACAGAAGACTCTCTCAGGCAAAGGCAAGGAGAGAAAATGCTGCCTTCAAGTATTCTGGACTTGCTGGACCCCCATAGCTGAGAGCCTGCTAGGAATTCATAAATAAAGGCCATGGACACTTTAATATGCAAGGCTGCTAAAAAGTGCCTGGAGTTGACAAGCTGCTAAAAACCCATCTATTATTAAGTGCCAAGTTAAAATGATATGCTTTTTCTGTGGACAAAGAGCCATTTTTCCATAGTGAATCTTCACATAGTCTTTTTTCCATAATAGGCAAAGTTGAAGAGAGTCTAATATTCAAAACATGGACTATCAGTTATCCACATATTAAAAATGTTTAGGAACTTCCTCCTTCTGAAACTCTAGCTTTTACAGTAGTCCTCATAATATCTCAGAGGGTAACTGAGCTCCAGTTCCCTAAAGGGGTTAAAACTTTTATTATTTTTTCTTTCAAATTCACCCCCCTCCCCCACCAAGGTTATTGCAAAATTAGAATTTCTTTTTAAAGGATACAGCTTCAAAATCATGAAGTCCTATAACGTGAAGCCATATTTGGAAGAGAATAAGGTCAAGAAAAATAATCAAAAGTAAATTCCTCAGGGCGCCTGGCTGGCTCAGTCAGTGGAGCATGCAACTCTTGATCTAAGAACTGTGAGTTCAAGCTCTGCATTGGGTGTAGATTACTTAAAAATCAAATCTTTAAAAAAAAAAAAGGAAATTCCTTGCCAGTCCTGTGATTTGATAGTATGCACTTACCTATACATCCAGCTAAGCCAGAAGGTACTTTAAAAGTGAGACCACTGATATTGTAGGGATTTTGCAAGAAAAAGTTTGTTTACAATTTTTCTTCACATTTCTACCTGAATTCCTGCCTGAGGAAATTTAAGTTGATATGGGGCAAGACAGGGAGGAGGGGAAGACCTTCAAAAACCTGCAATTGGTAACACTAGAAAATCTTTACCTAGTGAGGGAACTGTACCATCTTTAGCTCTGGAGAGCTCACCTAAGAACAGAACATATGGAAAATATTAAGATGATGATTATACTCCCAAGCTAAACGTCCAACTCCAGTGAGATTTTATTAAGGTTTTCTGATGATTTCATCACCTAAACTGAATAAAAAGCTAAGACATCCCCTCTACTTCTCCACATATATTCACTCTCTTTCTCTTTATATTTACACATTCATCTCTTTTTTTAAGGTTTTTTTTTTTAATTTTATATTTGAGAGAGAAACAGGGTACAATGCAAATAGGGGAGGGGCAAAGAGACGGAGAAAGAATCTGAAGCAGGCTCCAGGCTCCGAGCTGTCAGCACAGAGCCTGATGAGGAGCTTGAACTCATGAGCAGTGAGATAAGGACCAGAGCCAAAGTCTGACGAGCGCTTAACTGACTGACCCACCCAGGTGCCCCAACACACCCATCTTTTTTAAAGCTTAACTTCAGCTTTTCAATGCCAGAAGCAGAAGGCATGAGAAAATGCCAGTATATTCCAATTCTGACATAAAACTATGTACCAAACTGTGAAGAAATGGGAGCTCCAGATTCAAATCTAAGAGGAAGCATAAGATCTCAAGGATCACACTGGGCTAAGCTACTTATAATTCTTGCCTGCTACAAGAGCTTATTAGCATACAGGAGCACCTGGGTGGCTCACCTGAGCGTCCCAACTTCAGCTCAGGTCATGACCTCAGGGTTTCTGAGTTTGAGCCCCACACTGGGCTCGCTGCAGTCAGCCTGTCAGTGCAGAGCCCACTTTGGATCCTCTGTCCACACCCCCCCCCCCCGGCCCCTGCCCCTCCCACAGTTGCATTCTCTCAAAAGTAAACAAACATTATAAAAAACCTTATTAGCATCCACCATCTATAAAGTACTAAAAACAGTAATAATTTTACAAAACGAAGTGTAGCTTTTTACCCTAGAATTCAATTACCATTTTCCCCCTAGCTCCTAACTTAAGCATTATTTTCTCTGTCACTAAAGGACCTTAGCTGATGGTTTTATAAAGGAAAGGAGGGCACACAGGGAAAAGAGTTCACACTCAGCTAAGTTACAACTCTGGAGGCTTGGTTTTCTAGCTTGTGATTCTTCAGGCGCTGATATACTATTTAGAAGCAGATCCCATAGCTGGCTTTATGGGATTTATATGTCCCAGGTACTCAAAAGCTGGTTCTGCTCAAACAAAAACCTCCTCACATGTAGGGGTTGCCTGCCTCAAAAGAAGGATTGCAGTCTCCGGCGCACTGTGACTGCCAGCTGAACACCATTTGTACACCAACAAGGCTGGTAAGACAGGCTATATCGAACAATAAGCTTTCTAAACAGACTTGGAGACAACTTAACCATCATTGTTTCATTCCATACTTCCATTTGGTAAAAGCGAGTGTCACTGTGGCAAAATGCCAACTGCGACATGAACTATCATTTCACCTATACCCTATGTGTCTTATGCCAAATACAAACACAATCTAAGAGTAAGAGACTTCTTCAGAAAGGTATTTTTGGATAGAACTGTGTATTTTGGGTAGTGAGTTGCTAGGTACAGAGAGTATAATACTTCTCTCACATGCCTACCAATGTAAACAAAATTAGAAAAACAGCATAAAACATCTCAGCAGAGATAATTTTAGGGAAGTGCAAGTTGAATTAACTTTATTTTATAAGGAATTTAGAAAACATGAGCAAATATTGATTTTGCAGTTAAAAAAACAAATTAGTCCATACATCATTCAAATTTTAAAAATCAAAGAGTCAGTGTGACACTAAAACTGTAATAACAGAGAAATGGGTTTCACTTCAGGACAATATACTATCAGTGGTTTGTTACAACTAGATATACAAACATAAAGGTAGTAATGCTACAACAATGTAAAACTCTGAATCTCAAAGTGATCCAGCAGCCTGAAGGGAGCACCAATTGTCACCAATGTGAGAATGCCACATATTCTATCAAAAGAAACACACTATCACTAGGTAATCAAAATAAGCAAATAAATAAACTGAGGGGAAAAAAGGAGCCCAAGATGCCTGCATTTTAGAGTAAATGGTTTATTTGATTCTCTTGTTACATGTGTTTTGTCTGTTTTTTTCTTCTAAGAAAGAAAGGTAGATATGCAAGGGACCCAAGAATATTTCCCAGTTATATCTATGTTAATTTTTCAGTAAGAAAAAACTTTATATTGAAGAAATAATGATTGATACTTCTTCTCATTTTAACCAGTTAACATACTATTAAAAATGATTTGTTTTAGTATGCTTTGATTTTTTTTTCTTTTTTAAAAACTCTAAGAATATTCAGAAACTTCGCTGTCTCTTCGTTTAAGAAATATAGCTATCTATTTAATTCCTGGAATTTTTTTTTTTTTCAAGAAGTGACAACAATACAAAGTTCTAATATACCAGGAGTCTTGAAAAGAATATTGTGTGATCCAATTATAACAATTTAAATTAGAATGTTCAGGAAATATATGGGGGGTCAAAAATATAATTTATGACTTCTTGTGAACTATTTTTCACTGAGAGATGCTTAAATCTAAGTCTATAACACAGGTACCATCATGCTTGAAAATTTTTAAGGAAGAAAATTCACAACCTTTTCAACAACCTTGAAGAAAATGTGGATTAAAATTAGTAGCATGTTTATATGTACAAATGTATAAACAAACACTTTCGGGGGGAAAAGGAAACAATATTTATAGGCTACAAATCACTTTCTTTTAAGGAAGATTAAAAAAGAGTTAGTAGCTAGTCATAGAACTAGAAGCTGTGAGGAGAACTTAAAAGTGATAAATACTAAAACTTTTGCAGTGTAAAGAAATGCAAAAAACTCTTATACTACAAATCTTTAATTTTACAAAACTGAAAAGCAGTCCAACTATTGCATTTATGATGATAAAAACGGAAACAAAAACTCTGAAACATTTTGTAAAAATTCTATTATAACATTCTTAAATCCAGTTCATACTGTTCCAATGAATCAAGTAAGATTTAAGCTCGGGGAGGGGGGGGGGGGACAAAATATTAGAGAATTTTACCTTTTCTGAGGAGATCACAATTTCATTTCAAAAGGATATGGTGAGTAGGCCCCTAGTGACTTGTGTACTTTATTACCGGTGACAGAAAGTCCAAATATTTCCATTTTTTTAAACTTCTGGAATTTTATCCAGACTTTTAAAATATTGGTATTTAAACTTTACATTAAAGGGCATCATACTCTGATAACAGGCCTGCTTTAAATATAGTTTGATAATTCTGGTGGTACTTACTGAAAGAAGATTTCTTTAGCAAATACTGGTTTCATGTATTTAAAAAAATCAGCAAGACAGAATTTTAAAAATCTTAATTTACAATACATTGTAAACTGCAGACAACTGCCACATGTATCACAGACCAGCACAGGTAAAAAGTTTTTTCGAAATATTTTATAAGACTTTGTATCTTCCTTTATTTGTTGGTTGGTATGAATTTTGCTACAAAAGAAAACAAAATATACAGGGTCAGAAAGAGCAAAGGATAAAAAAAAAAGAAAAAGAAACAGGTCAAAAAAATTTCCTTCACAAACTTACAAAATTATCAGATATTTAGAACAGAAATTATTAATATTCTTATACTGAGGAAGAAAATAACTCTTCAATAACTAATCATTTGTCTGTGTTCACTGCTCTTTGACAACTATTTTGAACCAACTTAATGGTGGTGGCATCAAGGTTCTTTTTCTATCACTCCTTGGTGAAATAGTCTTAAAAGCATTTGATTTAAAGGTTGTTTTCCTTCTTTCCTCTTGTTTTATGTATCTTCTACTCTTTAAACTTTTTATTCCCCTAAAGAAAGTTCTGTAAGGGGAATTTTAGAAAAGCTCTCAAAAACACATTCAAAGAAAAAGGATAAAGTTTCCGGTCAAAGGGCCCTTGCCCAATGTACACGTTATAGGGAGTTTATAAGCTTCAACTGGCACTACAACACAGGGATGTGTTTGCCTCTTTTGGGAAGGTGGTCCATAAAAGGATGCCTTTTACAAGGCATAACTACTTTGGAAAATTATTTAGCAACACTTAAAGCTAAACTACACAACACTATAATCAGCAATTCTACTCCAAGTTATATACCCAAGAGAAAAGTATACTACTATGTACAAAAGACACATGAAAGAATGTTCACAGAAGTTATCCCTAACAACAAACAAGTAAATAACCTCAAAGTCCAATATATAAATTGTGGGTATATTCACAAATTAAATACCACATAGCCATGAAAGGGAATGAATTACTGCTACATGCAACAACATGGATTTCCTCTAAGTAATGATGAGTGGAAAGAAATTGGATACAAAAATGTACACAGCAGTTGATCCCACTTATATAGAGTTCAAATATAGGCGCAACTAATCTATCATGGTGAAAGTCAGAATACTGTTATGTTTCGGGGAGAGGGATAGTGACAGGAGGAGTATGCAGGGGGCTTCTGGAATGTTGGCATTGTACTGTGTTTCTTGATCTGGATAGTGATCGTATCAATATGCTTCCTTTGTGAAAATTCATCAAACTTTATGTTTATAATTTGTGTGCTTTTTTTTCTGTATTCATATAATAGTTCAATAAAATGTTTATTTGAACAAATCCTTGAGGTTTTCACTCACCAGCCGGATCAGTTCTTCTTTTATAAGTCTGGTGATTTCTGCCTTTGCTTTCTGCACAGCCAGTTCATTGGCACCTGGTAATAAGTGGAAAACATTATTCATGTTACTAGAATTACACTAGATGTTTATCCATGTCATGGAGATCCAGTAGGAAATACTGTAAGTGACTTTCAGAAACATTGTACTGCCTGCCAAGATAGTCTTTCAATACCTGGGGGAAGGTCATCCAATTTATACAATGGCTGCTTATTATTCAGATCACTTTTAGAGTTTCAAATGTAACCACTGGGATCACATTGCAGGTAGTGTTAAGAGTTCTTGCTATGATTAAAAAGAGCAGAGAAGGGGCGCCTGGTGGCTCAGTCGGTTAAGCCTCCGACTTCGGCTCAGGTCATGATCTCATGGTTTACAGGTTTGAGCCCCATGTCAGGCTCTGTGCTGACAGCTCAGAGCCTGGAGCTGGCTTCGGATTCTGTGTCTCCCTCTTTCTCTGCCCCTCCCTCCTCACGCTCTGTCTCTCCTTCAAAAATAAATAAATACCAAAAAAAAATTTTTTTTAATAATACATAAATAAAAATAAAAAGGGCAAAGAAAAGATGATTAGCAGTTGAGACAAACTTTTTTTTTTTAAGTCAGAGGGGTGCCTGGGTGGCTCAGTCTGTTGAGCATCCAACTTCAGCTCAGGTCATGATCTCGCAGTTCATGAGTTCAAGCCCCGTGCTGGGCTCTGTGCTGACAGCTCAGAGCCTGGAGCCTGCTTCAGATTCTGTGTTTCCCTCTCTCTACCCCTTCCCCGCTCATGCTCTGTCTCTGTCTCTCAAAAATGAATAAACGTTAAAAAAAAATGTTTTGTTTTTTTTTTTTAAAGTCAGAGAAACAAAATCTCCATGGTTTATTTATTTAACAAACACTTAATGGGCACTTATTATATTCCTTGGCGGAGGACTGGCCACATTGAAGGAGAAGTGATGACATGGATTATTTTGCAAAGGGAATCACATGGGCAATGATATAGATTAAGAAAGGCATGCTTAATTACTGAAGAGTAAGAAGTACAGTACAATTGGAAAAGAGTGTAAAAGAACACAGCAACATAGCCAAGAGGATGAGGCAATCTGGAGACACTCATTCATATAGTTACTTCAATTCAAGAAATATTAAGCAACTGCCACGTATGATATAGCGTGAGAGATACATTATATAAAGAACTCATTCATGCTCTTCATGAACTTGTAGACTATTAGAAAAACAAACTTGTAGAAACAGTACAACAGAACAAGAAGGTCGGAAATACTCTCATCAGAATGACTTCTAAATATCACTCCTTACAAAAACCTTTCCCTCACTTCTCTAAGCAGAGTTAAGTGGTTAAGAGTTGAGGAGCAAATAAAGTACGAAATAGTAAACAAGATACTGAATTCAAGGAAAAACAGGTATTATCAGCAGTGACTGGATGAAATTCAATTTTGAGGATTGCTGTAGGTGAGGTGCTCATGTGACATCTTATTGCAAGGGTCAATAAGGCCAGTGGAAATATGGATGAGAAGTAAAGGAGAGACAGAGACGAGAGAGCCATCAAAGGTAGTATTAAGGGATCTGCAGCCAAGGGGCAATGCCAGGGAACAAGTAAATCTAGATAGGTAGCACAGTGCACAACGATAAAAATGAAAGAGCTGGGCCAGGGGCACCTTGGTGGCTCAGTGGGTTAAGCATCTGACTTAGGCTCAGGTCATGATCTCACGGTTTGTGAGTTCAAGCCCCACGTTGGACTCCATGCTGACAGTTTGGAGCCTGGAGCCTGTTTTGGATTCTGTGTCTCCCCCCTCTCTGTCCCTTCCCTGCTAGCACTCCCTTTCTCAAAAATAAACATTAAAAACATTTTTAATTAAAAAAAAAAGCTAGACCAAAGAAATAGACGAGAAATTAAGAACTAGGAGTGAAATATTAAAGAATACAAGGAGAACTAGGGTTGCAATGTAGAGGACTATATGTTTATCATTCTATGTAAGAAAAACAGTTTTCTGGGGCGCCTGGATGCTATAGGTTAAGCGTCCAACCCTTGATATGGGCTCAGGTTGTGATCTCATGGTGGAGGGATCAAGCCCCACATCGGGCTCTGCATTGGGCTCCAGTGCAAATGTGGAATCTGCTTGGGATTCTCTCTTCCTCTGTGCCCCTTGCCTGCTCACATGTGTGCACGCACGCACTCTTTCAAAATCAACATTAAAAAAGAAAAAAGAAAACCAAATGAGGAAACAGTTCCCTTATTAGATGGCAATGATCTTTTTTTTTTAAAATGTTTATTTATTTTGCGGAGAGAGGTTGGCGGGGCGGGGGGGGCAGAAAGAGAGAGGGAGACAGAACATCTGAAGCAGGCTTTATGCTGAAAGCAGAGAGCCCAATGTGGGCTCAAACTCATGAACCATGAGATCATGACCTGAGTCGAACTCAGATGGCTAACCAACTGAGCCACCCAGGTGTTCCATGAAGGACCTTTTTGACCCCAGAGAGAGCACAGGGAGGAGGTCAGGCGGCTGAGGAAGAAAAGGAAGAGGAGGAAGAGAGGAGAAGAAAGAAGAAGAGGAGAAGCAAGAAGAAACAGGTTAACAACATGAAGGAAAGAGCCAGGAGTATGGCTGTGAAGTCACAGCAACATATCTAATCTAAATCCTACACCTTCACTAGCCAGCAACCACAATTTTTTTTTTTTTTTTTTTTTTTTTTTTGAGAGACAGAGAGATTGTGACCAGAGGAAGGGCAGAGAAAGAGGGACAATCTCAGGCAGGCTCTGCTGTTAGCGCAGAGCCCGATGTGGGGCTTCAAATCACAAACGGTGAGATCATGACCTGAGCCGAAGTTAAGAGTTGGAAATTTAACTAACTGAGCCACCCAGGTGTCCCAGCAACCACACATTTTAAACCTGTGGGTGCTTGAAAAGAAGAGAGGTGGATGAAAGTGAACAAAAGGGTAGAATCAAGAGTGAAGCCAGACTGAAAATTACAATAAAATGAAATTCAGGAGGAATGTATGCTACTTGACATGGTTAGTGTGAAGCTTGTTGATAGTCTATGCTGTTTTAAAAAGAAAGAAAATGACACTATCACCTAAATCCAAGAAGAGTAATTTCCCTCTTTTTGTTAGAGCCTGACCATTTTGACCAGTTTAAAGTTTTGACTTACAAAGCTTCTTTAGGTAATAGGTTACACATGTTTACAAGCTGCCATGGAAAAGAGGCATTTCCTTTCATTGGTCCTAAAACAACTCTGGCTGCTTTTAAGGGATTCTCCACTAGTAAAAAGAGAGGGTCACAAAACAGGCTATAAATTATACAGGATGGCTAGGCACATAAGTCCTTCCTGTTCTCCTTCCCACTGCCTAGTGGGAGGCCTGGAACTGCTGAGCCACACAGAGCCCCAAGGAGCCAGGCAGTATGGTCCCTCCAATTACAGAACTAAAAACAGATGACACTAGGCTCCTTCCAACACCTGTTTTCATCCTATTAGAGTTCAGTTGATTTGGCTGGAGTTTCAAAAACTAAAATATCCTTTAAAAAACTAATCATCTATGAAAATCTCAAACCTTTGGATCATTCTAATGACTAATATCGAGCTCTTAACACCACTATGGCTCTAGAATCCTAAAGATTCATTTTTGATAAGATTATCTTTTTTACAGAGAAAAAGAAGCTAGGTTAGATAATAAAAATTAGATGTTACTTCCTAAGTATAAGATGCCAGTGGGGGGAAATGCCTAGAACCATTCTAGGTGGATGGAAAAGTCAAGAAGAAGCTGTGGGCTTCTCACTTCACTTGGCAGTAGAGAAGGTATGTTCTGATAAAGTTACATGTGAAATGAATCTTGATATATAAATTATGCTAAACAAACATAATTACCTTTTAATTAAAAAAAATTACATAGAGGATCCTTTTTCAAAACAGTCATATGTCTGATTTACCTCTTTATAAGGCAGGCATTTAAAAGTATTGATTTTGGGGGCGCCTGGGTGGCACAGTCGGTTAAGCGTCCGACTTCAGCCAGGTCACGATCTCGCGGTCCGTGAGTTCGAGCCCCGCGTCGGGCTCTGGGCTGATGGCTCAGAGCCTGGAGCTGGCTTCCGATTCTGTGTCTCCCTCTCTCTCTCTGCCCCTCCCCCGTTCATACTCTGTCTCTCTCTGTCCCAAAAATAAATAAACGTTGAAAAAAAAAAAAAGTTTAAAAAAAAAAAAGTATTGATTTTGCTTTAAATGACACCCATGATATTCAAGCTTAGAATAAAAGGCTAATTCCAAGTATACCAAAAATTTTATCATCAGATTCCACTGGAGGACACTGTGTCTCCATCCCGTATGGCCTAATGAATACTGTGGTAGGAGACCCATCCAGTTCCAAGTGCAGAAAGATGTCAGCACCCCCATATTACTACACAAATAAGGAAGAGTGTCACATGATTTGCAAACACACAGTCACTGGCAGACCAAAAGTCTTTCGGGATACATAAAAGGATGCCATCTAAAACCTGACTTAATCGAAGTCACAATCACAAACAAAAAAATGCAATTTTTTCACCTTTGCCACAATTTATCATTAACTTTAACAAGTCCAAGGGGCGCCTGGGTGACTCAGTCGGTTAAGCATCCGACTTCGGCTCAGGTCATGATCTCATGGTTCGTGGGTTGGAGCCCTGTGCCAAGCTCTGTGCTGACAGGTCTGAGTGTGCAGTCTGGAGCCTGGTTAGGATTCTGTGTTTCCCTCTCTCTTGCTCCTCCCCCACTTGCACTCTTTCTCTTTCTCTCTCTCGAAAATAAACAAACACTAAAAAAAAAAAATTTTTTTTTTTAGTCCGAATGTGAGGGACACCTGGGTGGCTCAGTTGGTTAAAGTGTCTAACTTCGGCTCAGGTCATGATCTCAGCATTCCTGAGTTCTAGCTCCACATCGGGCTTTCTACTGTCAGTGCAGAGCCCACTTCTGATCCTGTCTTCTTTCTCTGCCACTCCCCTGCCCTCAAAAATAAATAAACATTAAAAAAAAAAAGTCCAAAAGTTAGAGTGCAGCAGTGAAAATGGCAGAAGCTGGAACTCCAAAAGCCTGTCCTTCCACAAAAAGTGAATAAACTTGAAAAAACTTGAAATCAATTGTATCAGAACTTTGGAAACTAAGCAAAAGTTTACAGGGACCAGGCAATCCCTTACTAAAGGAAAAAAAAAAAAAAAAAAGATCAGCAGAATCGTGGCAATAGCACTTTTCAGTGCTTTTACTTACTCTGACCCCATCTCATACCTCTGGCCAGGAAACAATTTCTACTTAGGGTAGATGGGATACACACTGCACATGTGTTTCTGTTCTTGTGGTCTTTATGCTAAGATGCCACACAAAAACAACTGAGGTCACCAATTCAAAGGAAAGTGACTAAACAGGCACAGCACTAATTAGCTTTCAGTCACATTTGTAGAATTCTTTGTTTCGGCCAGGAAAGAATCAAATCCTAATATATAAGTAAATCATCTGTACATTAAATTCAGTAAAGAACTTACCTAAAATTATAAAGTCTTCACAAAATCAAAGAAATGGCAAAATATAACAAGAACAAACTAGTGACAAACCTTATTTACAATATACTTTCAGTGGATCTAAATACCTTCCATTGATCTTTCCAACAACAACTTGAGAGCTGAGCTATCCATTATAGTACGTACCAGCCATGTATGTGGCTATTTACATTTTATATAAACCCGGCTGGCTCAGTAGGTAGAGCGTCTGACTCTTGATATCAGGGTCATTAGTTTGAGCCTCATGCAGGGCACAGAGATTACTAAAAAACTAAATTAAAAAAAAAAAAATCAAACATGAATTCCTTTAAAAGTTTTTAATAAAAATTAAGTAAAATTTACAAATTTCAGTCACACTGGCCACATTTCAAGCACTCCATACTCATCACAGAGAGTTCTATCAGACAGTACAGCTTTTTTTGTTTTTAATTTTTTTTTAATGTTTATTTATTTTTGAGACAGAGACAGAGTGTGAACAGGGGAGGGGCAGAGAGAGATGGAGACACAAAATCTGAAACAGGCTCCAGGCTCTGAGCTGTCAGCACAGAGCCCGACGCGGGGCTTGAACTCACGGACCGTGAGATCATGACCTGAGCCGAAGTCGGACGCTTAACCGACCAAGCCACCCAGGTGCCCCCAGACAGTACAGCTTTAAAGAAATCAAATAGAGAATAAGCCTGTCAAATAATACTTGTGCCAAGAAGACAAGTGGCTATAGGGCTTAATCAGATGCATAACTCAGAAAATTTATTAAGTGTTTACCATGTGCTCTGAGAATAGAGCAGATGACAAAGTCATTACATTCACAGAACTCTAGTAGGGGAGACACAAACAAGTAAAAACATACGACAATTTCCATGTGAGGAGTACTGTGAATAAAAACAACAGGTAAAGAGCTACAGAGGGGAGAAGTGGGATGAGGTAAGGCTTCTTCGTCAGAAGGGACATGCATGCCTCAAAGTACCAGGGTGGTGCCTGAGATTATACACCGTGCGGGAGAGCGGCTCCTCTGCAGCCATCAAAGCCATGTAAAGCACAAGGTACACAGACTTTCAGCTTACACAACACCTGGAATAAACCTCTCCACAGCTCCAACAATAGTATTCAACAAATATTTAGTTCATTAAATAGATGAAGTGGATCTGCCTTGTCTATACTTATAAGTCTGTCATAAAGATGTTCAGATTAAATATAAATGAAGGGAAACAAGTTGTCCTAGTATGCAGTGGAGTAATATATTAGAGGAAAAAATCAAAATGGAAACTATGTTTTGAACTCACTCATGAATGTATGAAATAAAGTTTAAAAGCAAATCCGACTGCTCTGAGATAATGCATTACTTACATACTTTGTGTTATGGTATTAACTGTCCTCTTCTAATTTTTTTAAAGATATGCAAAAACTTCTACAGGCATAATTTCAGAGGGAACATTTGCTTGAATAAACATTCATTAAGTAGACTAATATATGGATTTACTTTCTAACCTAAACTCTGCCCAGGAATGTTCTACTTTATTAGAAGTATGAACAGAGCAGTCCTTAAAATATTTGTTTTCTTTTAGAGTGATTTTCAAATCTGACCGAATCGTCAAAAATGAAAGAGCTCCAAACACAGATCAGTCACCTTTCTGTATGTAATATATTTAGTGTTTTTTAATGTTTATTTATTCTGAGAAAGATAGAATGTGCATGAGCAGAGAAGAGGCAGAGAGAGGAAAACAGAGGATTGGAAGCAGGCTCCATGCTGTCTTTGCAGAGCCCAATGTGGGGCTCAAACTCACGATCCATTAGATCATGACCTGAGCCGAACTGAGCCAAAGTCAGAGGCTTAACAAGCCACCCAGGCACCCCTTTATGTACTGAATTTTTAAATAAAGACCTTAAATGATATATGAAACTATGTTTTCTTTTTTTTTTAATGTTTTTATTAATTTATTTTGGGGAGAAAAAGAGAGAGAGACAAAGAAACAAGCTGAAGAGGGGGGGGAGAGAGAGAAAATCCTGAGCAGGCTCCACATGGTTAGCACAGAGCTGGATGTTGGGCTTGAACTCACAAACCACGAAATTACAACCAAAATCAAGAAGAGCTAGACGCTTAACCGACTGAGCCACCCAGGTGCCCTGAAATTATTTTTTTCTATAGGTATTCCTTATTTTTATCTTCTTTAGAACTGACCTAACATTCTCTCTGTGCCCTTACATCTATAATCCACTCTGACCTAACTCAAGACTGAAATTTCAAGAACCAAAGATACATACTTTCAATTGCCAAGTAAATTTTCCGCTCTCCTTCCTTAGGTTCTTTGCCAGGTGGGAAATATGTTCCTCTGATTGTAATTGCAGCTTCAGAATATTCACTGATTCTCTGCAGAGCTTCCTTAGAGGTAACTTTCCACCTAGCAGTCTAAGAAAGAAAAGGTGGGGGGAAAAATCACAACAGGATAAAAACCTGGTGTACTGACAAAGAATAGGTTGGCTAAATAATATTAAGGTCAATATTAAGATTATAATTAACTCCTTCACATCAATTCATTTAGATCCTAATGTACCTAGAATATGTTCATAAAAATAAAATTTCTACTGTTGTCTCCCTCCCTCATCAAGATAAAAAAGTAAAGTAGCTATTAAAACGTTCAAGGGTTTTAAACAAGGTATTTTTGCTCCTTAAGAAGCAAGAAATTTTACTCCGCAATTTATAAACAATGTTTAAACTGTTACTTGCCTGTGGGAAGTCATTGATCTCTAATTCTTCTTCATATCTTTTAAAAGATTCATTCTGTCCACCATCTTGCCTCTCCTCTTCTTGTTTCTCCAAAGGCACATAATTGAGCTTAGCATTGATCTTTTCAGCAAGTTGCTCTGCAATGGTTTTTGCAGACACAGTGGGAGCCAGGATGGTGCCGCCTCTGAGAATTGCATTGGTGGCCTGTTGCATCACATCCTGCAGTAAAAGAAGACCTACAGTCAAATCTCAAATGAGGGCAGAGACAAGATCTGGGATCCTACCACAAATTTTTCTCTGAAAAGCCACTAACTAATCTTTCTTTTCCTTTTCCCGTTCTCTTTTTTCTTTTTTCTTTCTTCCTTCCTTCCTTCTTCTCTCCCCTCCTTTCTTTCTTCCTTCCTTCCTTCCTTTCTCTCTCTCTCTCTCTCTCTCTCTCTCTCTCTCTCTCTCTCTCTCTTTCTTTAAGTAGGCTCTACACATAGCAAGGAGTCCAACACAGGGCTTCAATTCATGACCCCAAGATCAAGAGCCGGACACTTAACCGACTGAGCCACACAGGTGTCTCCAGAAGCATGTTTCTAATGCACAGTCCTACTCATGTGCAATTAACAGCACATATTTATAACCAATAGTTTAATATATCTATATCCCTTATTTTCATGAAAAAAAATAAAGAACATTCAACTCTTTATTAAAAATTCTACTGGATCATAGAGAATTATGTAACTGTTGATATCAAATATAGTACAATATTCTAAAATCATTTACATATTTTGTGGCTCCTAAGATATTCCTCTAAATTAGAATCTTTGTCTACTACCACCACTGAGCTCCTTCCTGCCATCATAGCAAACCCAAAATTCAATAAATTATAGTAAGTGATTGACTTACTTTTTAATTTTATTTTGCACTTAAATCTTTTTAATTTGAACCTAATTTTACTATGTGTCTAATGTGGACAGAATTCTGTGGGTAATACATGACTCATACCTCACACTTTTCTAACAGTAAGAAGGTGTAGCTATTTGGTTTCAGCAGTAACGAGTTATTAGCAGTAAGAATTCCAGAGGATATTAGATTAGGTGCTACAACCCCTGTTTTCAGAGGAAGTACAGGCTTCAGTGTAGTAGACATTTCATGGTAACTCACTGGCTCAAAAACAAATACAGAAACCTGAGGCTGTAAGCCTTGATCCTGGCTGCCTCACTGAGTCGGTCCACTAGCCTCCCTCTGGCTTGGTCCTCCCAACTTACAGGGTGCTACAGTCCTGAACCGATCCACCTGCTGGACAGAGGGCCCTGCTGATCCAAAACCTCAAAATCTTCAAAACAGTTTTATAATTAACAGACTATTCTTTGGGAATACTATGAAAATTTACTCTTAATTAAAAATTAATAATTTTTAAAAATTAATAAAAAAGCCCCCAAGAGAAAGATGGCATGTGAAATATTTAACACATTTTCCAGTTTTAAGCTCATGTTATTATGAGTTATGTAACTACGTATTTATATTTCCAAGGAATTGTTTGTGTGCCCAACACCCCACCCAATAAAAGTGGATCAAGAAATAAAAAGTGAGTTATTTCTGTAACATTTTGGTAAGATCAATCGGAATATTACTTTAGAAAAACTATCTACAGCTAACATGCTTCAGTTAGGGCTTTCAAAATAGGCATTAAGACCTCAGTTAACCATACTAGAGGAATCATCCAAATGCAATATTTAAATAATTCTGTATTTAGATTAATGTTAAATTCCCACTAACTCAATGTCTAGGACAATCTGTTCACCGGTGCTGACATAAAAAGTACTCAGTAAAACTCGGAACAAATTACTTAATACCTGAGACTCAATGCCCAAATTCTTCTGAGCATTGATTCTAAGAGCCAGTCTCTTAGCTATTTCTAATTTCTCAGCATTTCCCGCAGTTGGAGCAGGAACACTAGATGTTCCAGGAGCAGCCATATCTTTTACTCTCTTCTTTGAATTAAACATACTTTCAATTTGTTCATCAATCTAAATAAGAAAAAAAGGGATTAATAAAAATTAGATTAAAAATGCAAATTCAGATAGATCTACAGAAAATAATAAAGAATATTTCCATCAAATGACTAGAATAAGACAGTTGTATTTATGTTAATTCAACCACACAGATCAACAGGAAAATATATCAGCTATTTGTTAAGAGTGGCATATTTCATTTTAAAAATTCAGTTATCTATGGCAGGAAAAAAAAAAAAATAGAATGGGAAAGGGAGGAGAGGGGAGGGCAGGGAAAGAAAACAGAAATACAACACTATGTGAACCAGTTAAGCAGACTCCCAAGCGGTCCAGAAAATACATCCTAGTTCAGCAAGTGAGAAACATGTGGTGTCAAGACAGAGCATCCAACAGGATGCAGCTGAGATGCTTCAAGGCTCAGGCCTTGAGGCCAAATTAAATTGCAGTGATAGGTTGGAAAAAGGGCAGTAACTCCAGGTCAGTGGGCCACTAAAAATACAGTTAATAGTTCTCAGGGAGAATGGTACATGTTCCTATGGTGGGGCTCCCAAAATCCTCCCCAAATTCTAAAATGTAAATGGTTCTGCCTTAAAAACTGGTTAACAGGGATGCCTGGGTGTCTCAGTTGGTTGAGCAACCGACTTTGGTTTAGGTCATGATCTCAAGGCTTGTGGGTTCGAGCCCAAAGTCAGGCTCTGCACTGACAGCTCAGAGCCTGGAGAATGCTTCGCACTCTGTGTCTCCCTCTCTTTCTACTCCCGTTTGTGCGCGCTCTCTCTTTCAAAAATAAGTAAACATTTAGGAAAAACAAAAAAACCTCTGGTTAAAAGAATCAGAAAAGAAGGTTTTATTGCTTTATTCCTTTTGAACTAAAAAACAGGAAAAAAGGAAGGTTGGTTTCCCTATCAAAGCAAGAACAATGGGTGAACACCTCAGCTCTCCAGGAGCCACATAAGTCCAACTGCCACTGTGTCATACTGAAGCTTGACATATCTACTTCATAAGCTATTTGCATCTCCTTTTAATAATGCCTTCTGCCCAACAATGACTACTGACTATGCCAACTACAGAGATGTAAATCCCTTTATATACTTAAGGTAGGCTAATAAGGCCTTATCTGGTAAAACTCAAATGGAGAGCAGAACTTGTTTAGGGTTTTAAAAATTAACTGGGTTAACTTACAAAGTTCTTCGAAATCAAAACAATCAACTTAACTTCCATTTACAATACTTGTTATCTAACAAGGAAGTTTTAGTTATCAACTAATATAAACTTAACATTCAAGTGAATATCTTTTTTTTTTTTTTTAATGTTTATTTTTGAGAGAGAGAAAGAGTATGAGCTGGGGAGGGGCAGAGACAGGGGGAGACACAGAATCTAAAACAGGCTCCAGGCTCCAAACCGTCAGCACAGAGCCCAACACAGGGCTTTAACTCACAAACTGTGAGATCATGACCTGAGCAAGTCAGACGCTTAACCAACTGAGCCACTTAGGCACCCCCCAAAAATAAAACTTTTAAATTAAATAGGATGGGGAGCCCGGGGGGGCTCAGTCGGTTAAGCGTCCGGCTCTTGGGTTTTAGCTCAGATCATGATCTCACAGTTCATGAGTTTGAGCTCCATATCAGGCTCTGTGCTGACAGTGCAGAGCCTGCTTGGGACTCATTCTCTCTCTCTCTCTCTCTCTCTCAAAATAAATAAATAAACTTAAAAAAAAAAAGATACATGGCATTAAATTCCAAAACACACAAAATCAACAACAAGTACTGTGTATGATGCTAGCTTTTATTCACTTTAGTACTTTAAGTTGTTTATAAAAATTAACCAAGGAATCAATCGACATATTTCATATGAGATTTAAAAAAAAAATGTTCAAAGTATCATAAAAAAACTGAGGTGAGTTTAAAACGAGGCCATAAATTCTTCAGGTCATGATCTTGCGGTTCTTTGAGTTCGAGTCCCGAGTTGGGCTCTGTGTTGACAGCTCAGGGCCTGGATCCCGCTTCAGATTCTGTGTCTCCCTCTCTGCCCCTCCCCTATTCACACCCTTGTCTTTCTTGCTCTCAAAAATAAACATTAAAAAAAATAATAATAAAACAAGTCCATAAATTCTTTAATACTCTTCCCCTTCAAAAGGAGATGCTCTCCTTGAATGTGGGCTGGACTTAGTAACTTATTTTCAACAGACAGAATACAAGTAGTAGTGCCAGAGTAGAGCTTTACAGATTAATCATAAAAGGCCCTAAGGCTTCCTCTTTGCCATCTCAGATCACTCACTTTGGGAGAAGCCAGGGGCCATATTGTGAGGACACATAGGCAGAGTAAAGAACAGAGGTACCCTGCCAACATCACAGTGACTCTGCCTTCTGAAAGAAAATGGTCCTCTGTCAGTCAAGCCTTCAAATGACTACAGCCCAGGATAAAAGCATTACTGCAATCGCAATGAGACCCTAAGCCAAAACTACCAGTGTAACTGCTCCTGATTTGCTAACCCAAAGGAAATGTGAGAGAATAAATGTTGTTTGAAACTACTAGGCTGTGGATCAACTTGCTACAGCATAACCAATAAGTAACTAAAACACTGATTTAATTAAATTTTAAGCCAGTATGGTATCCTAGAAAGAAATGGCCTAGGATTAATGAGAGATCTGGGGTCTGGTCCTGGCTGTGCTTAACAGTCAATGTGGTTGTGGGCCAAATCCTTTTTCTGGGCTTCCACTTCCTCAAATGATAAGATAAAAATGAATTCCTGATTTCTGAAATTGACTGAGCTAAGGTTTAATAGAGTAAAAAAAAAAAAAAAAAAGTTCTGGGGCGCCTGGGTGGCTCAGTCGGTTAAGCGGCCGACTTCGGCTCAGGTCACGACCTCACACTCCATGAGTTCGAGCCCCGCGTCGGGCTCTGTGCTGACCACTCAGAGCCTGGAGCCTGTTTCAGATTCTGTGTCTCCCTCTCTCTCTGACCCTCCCCCGTTCATGCTGTCTCTCTCTGTCTCAAAAATAAATAAACGTTAAAAAAAAAAATTAAAAAAAAAAGTTCTAAGATCAAAGATCAAATATCATGGAGATTTGTTAAACGAAGTTAAATAAGCTTCTTGACTTGAGGACTTTACACATACTTCAATATGCTAATCCTACTTAGTGGTACACACTAAGATTTTCCAAAATCACTTTATAATGAAAACATCTTCTTCTAAAGCTCAAGCTCCTGGGATTTGGGTTCCAAACAATACTCTGTGAAATCCTGACCTTGCTGAGTCCTTAGGGTCCTCTTTACTCACTGGGTCACAAATAATAACATAAGCTAGGACCATGGTCTCTGAAATAAGAATGGAATGGGTCTCCTCAATTATAAAATGGGAATATTCTTGAGTATCTACCTTGTCTGGCTACTGTGAAGTAAATGAAACAATCCCTGTAAAGCACCTGACACCGTGCACAGCACTTAGTAATACTCAAAAAATGCTATTACTGATTTTTTTAAGTTTATTTATTTATTTTAAGAGAGAGACAGAGACAGAGAGAGCTTGAGAGAGCAGGGGAGGGGCAGAGAGAGACAGAATCCCAAGCAGGTTCCACCCTGTCAGCACAGAGCCCAACACAGGGCTTGAACCTATGAACTGTGAGATCATGACCTGGGCTGAAATCAAGAGTCAGATGCTCAACTGACTGAGCCACCCAGGCGCCCTGTATTATTTTATTTTATTTTTTTAAAGTAATTTCTAAACCCAATGTGGGGACTGAACTCATGACCCCAAGATCAAGAGTCATGTACTCTCTGCCAAATGAGCCAGCCAAGCACCCTGCTAACTATTATTGTTAATGAGGATAACCTATAATGATTAAATTTTTAAAAATAAAAATATTAGCACTGATGTTGTTAAAGATGTGGGGAGCCAGGCACTCTTATACACCACCACAGCGAATGCCAAACTGGTATTCACTTTGCAGGAGGACAGTCTGAAAATGTTTCAGAACCAAATTAGATACACCCTTTGGGAGAGCAATTCCATGTACACACTCAACCTCAAAACTTAATGTAAAGAATGTACAAAATTAAATGTATAAGGACAAGCAGTGAAGTACAGTTTATGACAGTAAAGTATATTCCAAATATGAACATACAGAAACCCACATATTCAAAATTAAGAATAATGAGAATGAATTTACTAAAATGAGAAGATTTCAACATAAGACTGTTGTTGTAAAGGTGGTTATAAAGCAGTATGACCTCATTTTTATGAATATACATAATATGGGCAGGGCATATGTGAATAGAGAGAGGGAGAAAAGGAGAAAGAGAAGGAGGGAGGGAGAGAAAGGGAGAAAGGGAGAGAGGGAGAGAAAGAGTAAAGGCTGGGAAGGGCACGTATCAGAAAGGTTTCCAACAACTGGCTATCTCAACAAATAAACCTGGGGTGGGGGGAAGCAACAATGTTTCAATCAGCAAGAAGGGGGCTCAGAAAAATGGCACTTACATCGACTGCAGCGTCCTCATCATCTGAATCTTGCAAACCGAGAGCTGCTTTTTGCAACTTCTTCCTCTCATTGGCCAAAGCTTGTTCTGTTTCATCAAACTTGAATCCCTTACCAGAGAACCCACTACTCTTTTTAATTATTTTCCCTTCCTTTCAAGGAAAAACAAAACAGTTAATTTCATACTAAAAAAAACTTTAATGTTTAGGAATTTAGGAGTAATTAAGTATTTTTCAAGGTAGCACATACCAATGTATCAAAAACATTTCATCTAGCATGAGAACAAAAAAAGAACTCTTCAGTATGATACAAAACATGGAGTTGAAGCAAAAGGGAGGATTTTGTTGTCATTCCTTTTCCCTCTCTAAAGAGATAAAGTTACCTTATCAAGGTTTACAAGTATAAAATATTCAAGGTTTACAACACAATAATGACCTGCATAAAGATAATGGGAATTGGAAAAAACTCACAGCTTTCTGCTGATCTTTGAAATCACTCCAAAGTTTCTCCAGATCAGAAGGCACCGCAGTTCCTGACAATTCAAGAGCTTTAATTATGTCACCAGCATAGCGAGCTTGATCTTCTGTGATAAAAGTATACGCATAACCCTAATGAATGATGAAAAAAAAGAGAACTATTAGACACTAACAAGATGACTCTTACTCAGATCACAACATAAAAGTAGAATCATCTAATAATAGATCTTCTTAAGAGTGACTTCATGGGGCACCAGGGTAGCTCAGTCGGTTAAGAGTCCGACTTCAGCTCAGGTCATGATCTCTCAGTCCATGAGTTCGAGCTCCTGTGGGGCTCTGTGTTAACAGCTCAGAGCCTGCACCCTGCTTCAGATTCTGTGTGTCTCTCTCTGCCCCTCCTCCCCTCACACACACTCCCTCTCTCAAAAATAAATAAACACCTAAAAAAAAAATTAGGGGCTCCTGGGTGGCTCAGTCAGTTAAGCGTCCAACTTTAGCTCAGATCATAATTTCACAGTTCGTGAGCTCAAGTCCCAAGTCGGGATCTGTGCTGACAGCTCAGAGCCTGGAGCCTGCTTCAGATTCTGTGTCTCCCTCTCTCTCTGTTCCTCCCCTGCTCATGTTCTGTCACCCTCTCTCTCACAAATTAATAAATATTTTTTTTTAATTAAAAATAAAAATAACCATACCAGAAACTCATTTCTTGATGCATAAACAGAAATTCAATTTTATATAAACGTGTAATTGCATTGTCATACACATTAATTTTAATATAATACATTATTTTTCCCCCTTTCGCTTGCATTCCCTTCCTACACTACCTACTGCACCTCTCTACCCCAACTAACTTGTATTCACTTGCTAGGACACAGCTTCCCACATATTTCTCCCTCTGCATATTTTTTAAGACCAGTAAGAGATATAAAAACATATGTTTGTGTATGTGTAATGTGTTTTTATATACAAAAATGAAGTCAGCTATATAGCCTCCCTGGGGTTTTCTAAAGCCTAAGATTTCACATTTCCCTAGCAGCTTTTTGGTTCAGGCAAGAGAGTTGGGAGTAGAATGGCACACCACAATCAGACTGTCTTCACATACACTGTGTCCCTACCAGAAAACTGTTATGAATTGTAAAACATGGTTTAACACTGTATTTCAGGAATATCTAGTCACCACATGACCCATGGCTTACTTTTGTGCTGTCCATGTGCTAAGAATAGTATCACATTATTTTAAGGTTTGTACGTGCACATAATTTTACACAAAGTTTCCCATAACCACAGAATAACTCAGGTTAAATCAATAAAAGCCATCACTATGTATTAGCTGTGTAAGCTGGGCAAGTAAGTTAACTTCCATGTACCTTTTCTTATCTATTAAATGGTATTACTCACCTCAAAGGGAAATTGTGAGGATGAAGTGAGATGATTTATGTAAAGCAATGAAAATAGTGCCTGGCATTCAATAAGTACTCCATAAACACATTATTATTATTATTATTATTATTATTATTATTAATGCCTCAGTATGTAGAAATGTCCAGGAATGGAAAATCAAATAGATCATCATACCATCATCAGTGTGTCTTTTTCTTTTTCTTTTTTTTAATGTTTATTTATTTTTGAGAGGGAGGAAAGAGCACGAGTGGCAGTGGGGCAGACAGAGAGAGAAAGACACAGAATCTGAAAGAGGCTCCAGGCTCTGAGCTGTTAGCACAGAGCCCAACATGAGGCCCAAACTCAGGAACAGTGAGATCATGACCTGAGCCAAAGTCAGACAACCAACCGAACGAGCCACCCAGGCGCCCCAATCACCATCAAGGTTTCCAACAACAGAATATTCTGCTTGCTGCCTTCAAAAAGAATGAGTTAGACCTATATAGTTACCAGACTATAAGTGAGTTAAAAAACCAAGAAATATACATAGTGTATGAAGCAGGACAGGGGAATAATGAGAAAAAGGGTAACAATTTTGGTAGGAGTACATTTTATAATCCCACATTTTAAAAATAGCAATGAAAAATCTCAAACTATATACATGCATGTAAAAACGTATACAGAAATTTTTAAGCAAGGGGGAAAAAAAAAAAACTAAAAGACATAAATAACACTATCTGCCTAAAGAGAACAGCTAATTATCAATAACTTTAATAATACTGTGTATAGAAATGATGAACATCAATTAATCCCCATACTCTGATGATTGAAGATTTTCAAAATGTTTATGTTAACTCCTATTATCTACTCCTTATAACCCTAAACAAACAAAAAAAACCTGTATTTTATTAATACAATGGAAATCAACTTTAAAAAGTTCTTTTTACTTTATTGCCTGCTCTTCCAGTCCTTCCCGCTCTGTGCACATAATCCTCATAATGGTTGGGGCAGCTGTAATTTACTACAAGAATCAGATGTTTCACATCTAAACCTCGGGCAGCAACAGAAGTGGCTACGAGAAGTTTGCAGGTCCCATTCTTGAAGTCATTTATGATGCTATCTCTGTCATATTGATCAATGCCTGCAAGTAAACAAACAAAAAATGTAAAACCACATACTGCATTTAAATTGTTCACTGCATCTGACACAGAAATAAGTTAAATGCAGAGTAAAGAATAAACACAACTTACAATGACCAAACATCTACCAATTACAATACTGAAATAAAACACTATGGAAATTTAATGGCCAGATCAAAAGCTACTGCTATTAACTCATTGATGAATATTCCAAATATGTTCTTGTTTTGCCTCCTTTCTTGTGAATATGGATTATAACAGCAGAAACCCCATCTCAGATTCATTAACCTATACTTAACCTATTTATGGGGTAAAACAAGAAAAGGCAGGTACATTCAGCCTACAGTAACAGGATTCTTCAGATCTTTCTCCTTCTCCTATAGGTTATTAGAGCCTTGCTACTCAGTTTTGTCCGAGGACCAGAAGCAACATCACATGGGACACTGTCAGAAATGCAGAATCTCAGAAAAAAAAGAGAAAGAGAGAGAGAAAGAAAAAGAGATAAAGAAATGAAAACAGAAGAAAAGAAAAGAGAAAAGAGGAGAGAAAAGAGGAAAGAAAAGAGAAAAGAAAAGGAAAGGAAAGAAAGGCAGGCCAGATCCTACTCCAAACTACTGATTCAGATTTTGCATTTTAACAAGATACTTAGGTGACTGATTACACATTACTATTAAAGTTTGAAATGCACTGGTTAAAAAGCAGTGAACTGGGTCTCTCTTAAATATGTTTCCCAAAGAGCCTCAGGGTGAGTGATAACGGAGGGTATAAAATGCCAAAATGTTCTATTACAAAATACTCAGACCGAAAATTGATTTAATGATGGAGAACCTCCAGTAATTAGAGAAGAGAATGGGGTAAATTCTCAAACCATGAAAAACTCATTTTGGCAGCAGGAGATATTCTAAGGCTTCATATAAAATCTGAGTTTAAAATACACAGAATACTTAGTATCTAAATATATATCAATGCTAATTAATACTATTACCTAAAACTTAAACATACTCCTCAGGACACCTGCCTGGGTGGCTCAGTCAGTTAAGTGTCTGACTTCGGCTCAGGTCATGATTTCACGGTTTATGGGTTCAAGCCCTGCACTGGGCTTTGTGCTGACAGCTAAGAGCCTGGAGCCTGCTTCAGATTCCATGCCTCCCTATCTCTCTCTGCCCCTCCCCTGCTTGCACTCTGTCTCTCCCTTGCTCTCTCAGCAAAAAAGAAAAAAAAAAAAAAGTGTACTCTTCAATGACTGAATTAAAGAAATTATTTGGATCTAATGTCAAAATAACTAGAATCCAACACCAAATCCAAAAGTCTCTTAAGAAAAGTTAATGAAGTCAATACCAATATAAATTAAATTTAAAATTAAAATGTACTAAAACTTTTACTTTAGACTGAGGTATCCTGACTACCTAACTCAGCTACACATACTTTATTCCATGAAGTGAATATAATATGCTAAACACAGTATATGGGATACCTGCCCAGCAGCAATTAACCCTCTTCCTTTTTTTTTTCTTCATGTTTATTTATATTTGAGAAACAAAGCGAAAGAGGGAGGGAGGGAGGGATGGTGTGGAAGCAGGGGAGGGGCAGAGAGAGATGACAACAGAATCTGAAGCAGGCTTCAGGCTCTGAGCTGTCAGCACAGAGCCTGATGTGGGGCTTGAACTCACAAGCTGTGAGATCATGACCTGAGCTGAAGTCGGATGCTTAACCAACTGAGCCACCCAAGTGCCCCAACCCTCTTCCTTTTTAACAGAACTCCAAATTTGTTCACCTATCCACCCAACATATGATCACATATATCAAACCAGAGATGAGCCTAATTCTCACTTTTAGGTGAATCAATCCCATTCACTTTCTGTGCTTAAGGCCTCCTTTGTAAAAATTAATGAGGATGAGACCCAGAGAGCTATACTTTACACAGGTCATCTCTATCAATACTCAATGTATTAGAAACTGAGAAAATTTGTGAATACTTACGAACTTGTTTAAAAATAACTTAAAAGCAATTACATATTAAAATTTAGGGGCATCTCGTAACAGAAGATAGTTGGAGTCTCATATCTTCTGCATCCCATCTGGTGCAATAGAACATGCCATGATGCCTTCAGAAAACTACAGTATACACTCCACACTCCACAGAATGAAAGTAAAAAGGCAAATCACGTAGTAAGGTTATTACACAAATACTTGTGATCTCATGAACCCCTTAAAGTCTCTGAGAACCTCAAGGGTGCCAGGGCAAAACTTTAGGAATCATTAGTCATGCTGCCTGCTTACAAATGATTTAGGCATAAGCATGTGATGCAATTTTTACCAAAGAGATAAGAGAAGTACAGACAAGGGATTATGGGGGGGTGGGGGTGGGGGGAATATCCTTATTACTTATATAAAAAACACACAATATCCCTCAATGTAGGAAAAGCTCTTATTGGACCAACCCTCTTGCAGATAGCAACTATAAGCTCTGGGCAAAATATTGGGAGAAAAAAAAAAAAACACAAAAAACCTACCTGAAGGCACAAGAGTATGACTAAAAACAAGCAGAAACTGGAATTTTAGACATTTGGAATAATACACTAGCAGTAGTTGCAATTACAGGATTCAATTTATTTACTTTAAACTTTCTGTTTGGGGAAAAGCCTTGGGAAGCCAAGGGGGACAAGTCAAACTTGAATAGAAACTGGAATTTTTGACATTTGGAATAATATACTAGCTGAGGACCAGAAAACAAGCACAAACATGTGGACCCTAAACTATGCATGCATGGGACAGAATCCAAGCAACCTAGGTATGGCTAAAAGAAATTAACACAGGGGTGCCTGGGTGGCTCAGCTGGTTAAGCATCTGACTTCAGCTCAGGTCATGAAGTCCTGGTCCCAGAGTTTGAGCCCCTCGTCAGGCTCTGTGCTGACAGCTCAGAGCCTGAAGCCTGCTTCAGATTCTGTGTCTCCCTCTCTCTTTGCCCCTTCCCCCGCTCATGCTCTGTTTCTCTCAGTCTCTCAAAAATGAATGTTAAAATTATTTTTACTAAAAAAATAAAAGAAATTAACAGATTTCAGATGTTGCCCATTAAAAGAAGGACTGAGTTTAAAATAAGGGTCCAACCAAGTTAATGTCTTATTAAAACAAAAGTCTTAAGGAAAATATGAGAATTCAGACCCTACAATGGATTATTCATAAAGGGCAGCATACAAATCAAAATTATTAGATAAAAATAGAAATATATAAAACAAAGTAAAAAGATAATCAACAGAAACTGACAAGGTGACCAAAATGTTATGATTAATAGTCAAAGATTTTTATTATTTATTTATTTATTTTTGAGAGAGAGAGAGAGAGAGAGAGAGCGCGCGCGCACAAGCATACACATGCACCCGTGGGAGAAAGGCAAAGAGGGAGAAAGAGAATCCAAGCATGCTCTGTGCTGTCAGCGCAGAGCCCGGCATAGGGCCTGAACCTATAAAATGTGAGATCACAACCTGAGCTGAAACTAACAGTCAGAAGCCCAACCTACTGAGCCACCCAGATGCCCTAATAGTCCAAGATTTTTAAAGCAACTGCTGTAACTGTGATCAAGGAAAAATTTTTAAATGCTCATAATGAATGGCAGGAAATCTTATGAGAGAAACAAGAAGAAAATATAAGAGAGAGCCAACTAGAAATTCTAGAACTAAAAAAAAAAATTTGAATTAAAAATTCACTGGATAGACTTAACAGCAAATAAATGAGGGCAAAAAGAAATCCGTGAACCCGGGGCGCCTGGGTGGCGCAGTCGGTTAAGCGTCCGACTTCAGCCAGGTCATGATCTCGCGGTCCGTGAGTTCGAGCCCCGCGTCGGGCTCTGGGCGGATGGCTCAGAGCCTGGAACCTGTTTCCGATTCTGTGTCTCCCTCTCTCTCTGCCCCTCCCCCGTTCATGCTCTGTCTCGCTCTGTCCCAAAAATAAATAAACGTTGAAAAAAAAAAAAATTAAAAAAAAAAAAAGAAATCCGTGAACTTGAAGACAGTTAAAGAAATGACCCAGTATTAATTATAGAGGAGAAAAAAAGGTTGAAAAACAAAAGTGAACAAAGGATCAAAGACATGGGAGATGGTACTAAAGGGCTGAACATACACATAATTGCAATCCCAAAGAGAGAAGAAAAAGAGCTCTGGAAAAAAAAAAAATTAAGATACAACGGTCAAGAATTCCCCAAATTTGTCCCAAATTACATCTGAAAAACATAAATTTACAGATTCTACAAGTTCAGTGAACCATGAGTACAATAAACACAAAGAAAACCATACTGATACACTAACCATATGACCCAGCAATCCCATTCCTGGTTATCTATTCTAGAAAAATTTTCACATACAACCCGTATTCAAACATTTAACAGCAGCTCTATTCATTTTTGTCTAAAACTGGAAACAACCCAAACATCCTTCAACAGATGAAGATACACAAACCGTGGTACATCCACACAATAAATATCTCTGGGCAATAAAAAGAGATGAATTGTGCAACAACTTCAGTGGATCTAAAAATCATTACGCTGAGTGAAAAGAGTCAACTGCATAATGTATGACCTATATTTACAAATATTCTTATAAAAACACATCAGTGGTTGACGGGGGTTATAAACAGGAGGAGAGTTAACTTTTCAGTTACTTTTGTAGGTATAGGACAAGGGAGTTTTGGGGCATGATGGAACTGTTCTGTATCCCAATTATATTGTTCCCTGTGGGATGGCTGAAGCAGCAGAAAAACAAGGAACAGCCCAGGTGTCAAGAGAAATGAACTGAACGAACGGGGATAGATTTATACAAAAGAATATTAACGATAAGGGAAGAACTACTGGTAATGCAACAACGTGGAAGAATCCCAAAAACATGCCGAATGAGGCCAAAGACCACCCACCATATGACGGAAACAAGCCAATGAAGAATGGACAACCCAGCACCTAGAGCTATCAAGCCAGTAAGGGTAGAAGCTGAGAAGGAACAAGGGGGAAGGGAAG